AAATTAGTGGGGATGTTTAATCTAAAGCAAAAAAAAAAACACCATACTCATAACAACAGAAGCTAATACCATTGAACATGAATTCCAAAAAAGTAAAAAAAAAAAAAAAAAAAAAAACAAAGGACTTTGTTTTCCAAGTTTGGAGACATTGTCTGAAATAGCAGTGAGTTCCATTCTTTCATTGCTTTAATTTGCTTTTGCAAATTGAACCGGAAGAACAAGTCGGCCCCTTTGTAATGGGGAGTCGTTGAGGGCTTTGTTAGCCTCCAATACCCGATACTGGTCTATTGCTCTGAAAAAGGGAGTCTTTAGGGGCATTGCTGGCCATGCTGACCAGGTGACATGTCTTGGTCCTCTGGATGCTAACGATGCCCCTAACGATTCCCACTTTTCAGAGGCATAGACCAGTATCAGGTATTGTAGGCCAACAACAACCTTAATGACTCTCCTATACCATGGTAGACCTGTTTTTGTGGGTTTTTTTTCGGTTCAATTTGCATGTTTTCTAAGCCAAAACAAGGCTTTGTTGGGCTACTCAATTAAGCATGAAACTCAACGCTATTTCAGACATTTTGAATTGAAAAAGCTTCCTGGATGAGAAGCAAAACTTCTTCAAATTTTGCAAACAAAGTCCAGTGTTTTGCTTTTTTTTCTTTTTTTTTTAATGACTATGACCTTGATGACTTGATAAACCACCCTAAAGCCACCCTAATATCTCCATTAGAGTAGAAGTTAAAAACTAGGGGGAAAGATCATCCGTGGCGGTGTCCATAAATGAACAAGGACAGAAAAGGTAATATATATCTCCACTTGCTGCATGCATGGTCTGTGTGAGGGACTGCTGCAGAGTTAACACGAAGTAAAATAGGGTAATGACAGATTGGTAAATACAAATTAGAGAATAATGTTTATATACCCCCCCAAAAAAGAGGACTGCTTTATTGGATGCAAACTATTGATACTTCAACATACAAGTAAGCAGATTCGTCATCCTAATCAAAATATTGATTTTTTTGGTGAAAGGTTTTAAAATTTCGTCAAATGCAGACCATATCTTCCAACTTCAAGAGCAACTTGTTATCAAAGGCATGGAGCAGGACGGTAACAGAGGATGCAGGATTTTGGGGTGAGTGTCCTATACAGTCTGCTCCAGGTGGACCTGGAGACTGGGAAGGCGACACCCTGCTCTAGACATCAGCTCCCAGGTTGCAATGCCTGAGTAAATTGGCTAAACCAAAAAGGAATCTTTAAATGTTTCAAACTGGCTGACTAGGCCCAAGTAACATTGGTCATCGACTTCAACTGTCCTGCAGCTTTTGCAAGTGTCCCTTCTCCAACACACCTGAAACAAACAAATGACTAATGGCCAGGCATCTGCCACCAACAGCCAACGAGGTCATTTGGCCTTTTGTTTCAGGTTTGTTGGAGCAGGGATGCACACAAAAGCTGCAGCACAGTGGCACTTGTGGACCAAATTTGCTTCCCCCCTGTGTAAATGATTTACATTTTTAAAGAAAACAGACCAGCAATTTAAACAAAAGGGCAGGATGTGTTTAAAAGAGCAACTGCTGAAGAATAGAAATAAACGTTCCAGAACTTGCATTATAGATGTCAACTTGTGAAGGATATTAAAAAGCCAAATGTAAAAAAAACTTCCCTGCAATACAATCACACAAATATTTGGCTAAGGATTAGCACTGTAGCAAAACAAATGCAGAGCTATGATGAGAAGGATGGCACAGAAAATGTTTGTCTGCTTTGGGCCATCTTCCAGTAGTAGGCTGAGTGTCCACAATTGAAAAACTAGTTTGACCGTAGCACATAGCGGACCCACAACTGCACGTCATGATCCAGCAGTATGTCAGGGGCGGTCTCAAATAGCACCTAAGCACCTAAGTCTCCGGGTTTCTGGTTCCAGCCCTTTCAACCATCATTGTGTGCTGGGTTGAGATGGCATCAAACGCCTCGTCTCTGTGGATCATTGCACCAAAGATCATTGGCTGCAAACAAACAAGCAAGACAGGGGATGAGGTTCTGCTTTAATAAAACAAAAGTTTTGTTTTAGCTGGTATAACTTTATTTTCTTCAGTCTTGTGTGTTATGACAATCTTCACTAATTTCCTCTGCATTTATTTAAAAAAATTATAACCTTTTTAACCACAAAAAAACCCAACAGTAAGAAATGAAAAATGTAATGTTCTATTTTAATGTAAATCTAAGATCTTTTCATTTCAAAAACAGAAACTGTTTTAAACACTGTTATAGTTTTTGCATTTGTACCATTTAAAATACTTTATTGGATATCTGAACTGCAAACACTTCTCCTGCTTGCTTTCACAGAAGGAAGAATAGTCTGAGTGTCCAAACCCAAATTTTCTTCATTTTTTTCACCCTAACTTTAAGGTAAAATGGAGGATTTTTGTGAATTTTTTAAAAGCCCTCTTGACTTAAAAAAAAAACAAAAATGCACATGCACCACCCTGTACCCACTCCCAAGAGGGAATGTCTATTAAATGCGTGCGAGATTGCAGGATCCCATTTCCCCCCGTGCACGCTCAGTTTAAAAGTTGCTGTTTGCATCACTCATACGAGCTTAGTTTCCAAAAGAAGATTAGCAATTTTTCCACTATGTTAGACTTTCAACCAGAAATTTAAAATGGGGACAAGCACGTAGGACGGCCTTATGTCAACATATCACCAGAATGATTGGAAATTTGGAGGACCTCTTACATCCTCAACTATATCTTTAAGTATTTTTTATGTAAAAAAAAATTATATCTTTTATTTATTTATTTATGCTTTTATAGCATTATGTGACCTATTCAAATGAGGTGTTACTATTTACTTCCATGTTCTGCAATGTTATGTAAAGATTGGATCTACAACCTGGGCTCTGAATTTCCTACAAAGACCTAAACAAAGACCAAAAAACAGTCTTCTTTTGAACTAACCCAAGTCATTAAACAACTGCAACTTTTATGTTGAGTTGTTTGTCCTCAAACTAGCCATGCCGCCTCCACCCTGCTATTGAGGTTTCCATAACATTGCTACAGGAGTAAAGAGGGTAAAAACGGGTGGAAGACGCAGTGTGTAAAACATGAACACAGAAGGGGAAAAAAAATGCTTCATGTGGACTGACAAGAAAGGAACAAAAATTGCTTATGAAACATGGATTCTGAAACACAACGGCAGCTCTGAAGTCCACCGATGCTGTCTCTCTCAGCGCAGATGTGATTGTAGCCGGATATGCAGTTAGCGCTTCAAACTTATCCACACTGGTAGAGTCTCAAAAGGTATTTGCTTTGGTGGCTGCTTCATCTAAATTAAACCTTCTATTCCTATTCTGGTAGAAATCAGAGTGCCTTTCCTTTTTTTTTATTTCTAATGGTGAGATACTTAATTTGTCATTATTATTTAGGTCGTGTAATGTTGTCAGAAGAACATAAGTTTATAAAAGCAGAAGTTTTTTCTTTTTTTTTTCTTTTTTTACAAGCACTGTAGAGTATCAGGATGTTGATCAGGAGCGATCTTAGAACACAGCAAGGAGGGTATTTCACTCAAACAAACCAGTGGCTGAGCTGAGTGACAAGAGGAGATTCATTTCGGTTTTCAGAAAAATCTGTTATAAACTCTTATATATTTTACCCACAACTTTCTCCAGGAAGCCATGGATATGCATATCAATAGAGCCACCAGTTTTGTTTGGACATGGTGTTAAAATTCCAAAAAGTAAGCAGCTCTCTAGCTTCCAAGCTCCTCTCCAATGACTCAATGAACTGAAGACATTCTTCAATACGTTAAATTCAGGAGCAATCTCAGCATCCCTCTTTTTTGCCTATGTCCTGCCTTCTTCTGCCATTGACTCTCCGGTTTCTATGATTTTGCTTTCAGCCAAATCAGAAATTGGCGCTGCTCCCTCTGCCTTTCACCTCTCTGTCTTAAACAATGGAGAGAATGAATCACAATATGTCACAAGGTCCTGAAGGTGTCAGCCCAAGAGTCCTTAAGGCCTATGGAAAGCAGCTCTGTGGGATTCTAAGCACCTCTTCACAAGGTGGAGGCGGTGAGGAAGTTGGGGCAAGTTTGACCGACAACAGAGGGGCATGACAGCGAAAAAAAGCGGGGATCCAGGTGGAAAAAGGGTCCCAGCGTTCTCGCGCACCTCGATCTTCTAGCTGGTTAAACTTCACGAGTTGTTTTCCGCAACTGCGGTCATAAAAACAAAACAAGTCGGCCTCCTGTCTTCGGTCACCTACAATTTGGGAGAGGTGCACCAGAGTGTCTGCGGAGGGGGCGGGAACGTCTTTTTGTTCACTGTGACACCTACGCAGACAACCTAGTTTTGAAGTATAAATCAGCCTTAAGTCTGAAGGAGAAGTTCCAGTTTTGTGGAAGACCTCCTGCCTTATTCCAGTACCAAAGAAGACTCAGCCAACAGTCCTCAATGACTATAGACCTTTTGCCCTGACATCCCACATCATGAATGTCCTGAAGAGACTTCTGTTGGTTCACCTCATCAAGCAAACAAACAGCTATTAGTGAACGCCCTCAGCACATAGGATTTTCGCTGGCCGCCTCCCCGCCCTTCACCACGCAGTTTGCAAAGAGATATTATGTAGATACATCCCTCTTGGCACAGACACCGTGCTCGGTCTGAATGCACCTTAAGACATTTGTTAAACACCTCCTCAGTTTTAAAGTAATTCAAAAATACTTTATTAATTCAAAATGAAAATACACAACTAATTTTTGCTCCCATTGTCATGTCTAGAAGCGAATTCACCCTTAAGCTTGTGCTGCCCTTTATATCCAATGTCCTTAAGGCACCCACTCAGATCAGGGTCACTTCAACATACAAGTGGAGGCAAATACTTTTTGCCTCCTCAGGAATCGGGACAGCAACTGAGTTTTTTTCTCTCAATGCCTACTTGCACAGAATCTCTTATTTCGGCTCCAATACTAACCAGGCATAAGCCATATTGATCCTTGTTCAAATTGAATTCTACACGGTATCAACCTGGTAAGACTGTGCAAAGTGTTTGCAAATGAGAGAGACATTCAGTGCAATTGTTCGAGCTGATAGGGAAAATCAAACGGCACATGCTTCCCATGTCAAGATTTAAGCCAATTTATAACATTCTTGATTTATTTAACAACTAGAGGGGTTGACTGATAAATCGACTTCTTCCAAATCCAGTCAGGATAAAGGCACAAATATCTTTTCCATCCAAAATGGCAAAAATTGCAACTATATGCTAATTTTCCCAGAATAAACAGATGGCATTCCAGCTAAAACCGGAACAGCCATGTGTGTTTTTTGCTTTAATCTTCAGCTTCTAATTGACGTGATGACATCACGCACATTAAAATCAGAAATAATTTCTGTATAAGGGTTATTGCATTTGTTCGCTTCTGGCTGCATATATATTCTCAAGTTTGTGAATTCACAAATATTGCAAAAGTTCAACTCACTTGCTGGGATTCTGCTCCAATCCTGTTTCTCTAACAACTCTTCATCCATAAAAAGACTGATGAGTAAAAATGTCATCAATTATTCAAATTTAGCATTTTAAATGTGCATATTGAAGGGTTTTTACTTTTATTTTTATTTTTTTTATCTAAAGCCTGCAGTGACCCAGCCACCCTTGCAAAGATGCTTTGAGTTTTCAAAACTATTGGAACTCTCAGTTTGGACTGAAATCACATCCAAAACTGCACTCTTTACCTTTTGGGTTGAAGGTGTTGCTATGGAGATACCCATCCCTGAACCGGGCAACACTGACAAAACCTTGTACTGTGTGAGAAAGAGTAGAAAATCAGTCACATATAACAATTTCTCTACTGTAACCTGAAATGTTCTCTACTCAGTCTTCACATTATACAAATATATACAAATATGGATGCTAAGTATATCTCTTCATCAATCCAGCCAGCCATTATTTTTAGTATAAACGGAAAAGGTATTGTCTGGATTGGTATATTTAACTAAAATGTAAAACTTGTGGTAAATACCTTGGGCATAATTAGGAAACATTTAATTTATCAACCTTGTAAATATCCTTGTTATATTTTATGTAATTTAGGTTCTGTGGATGTTTAGATTTGGGTTTCAGAGGTTCAGAACAAATAATTGTAATTCTAGTTGCCTGTTGGAATGAAAAAATATGTATTCCGATTACATAAAACAGTAGAAATCACCTGAGGTAAGTTTACACATCTAGCAGAAGCACATCTATATAAATCTTTAGATATCAATAACAATCTATATATAAATAACAATAACACACAATAAATGTATTTCCTTGCACACATTAAAAGACCTCAGCTTACAGGGGAAGTAAGTTGTTTATGATTTGATTATTACTCCATAATACATTCATTAATCAAAGATTTAATAAAGCTGCACATAAATAATTGTCTGCAAGTCTTCTAGACAAATGTAAAAGAAGCAACAATTGTTATCTGTGGCAAACCTACAGCAAACACCTACCTTCAGAATTTCAGTGATTTCAGTCAGTTTGATGACTTTGTTCCTTTTTGTGGACCCAGACCTGGAGCTGGAGCTCTCAAAACAGAGGTAGCTATAAATCCAGAGGACACAATTTAAGCTCCTGTCTCAGAAACCTAATTATTCCTTTTAAGAGTCCAGATCAGATGGTCAGATCTTTATTTTTTTTGCATAGCTGTGAAAAACTATGAATTGAAGGGAAGGAACATACTTCTCTGTGACATAAAGGACCCCATTACGGATGTAATCTGTTGGTGTCTTCCTGTCTCTATTGATCAGGCAGCAGCGCCAGCCGTTCTCACACACTGTGAAACGAAGGAGCAAATACAAACTTTATTAAGGCATATTTATGATTACATGCTCCACTAATGTGCTTTGTGATGGTGAAGATTCTCAGTCATCCCAAAAAAGTTAAAAAACATTCCTCTGAAAGGGACTCTGAAGACCTTGCCTATTCAGCCAGGCCAACAATTACGTGTAATAACTTTAAGAGACATAGACAGGTATGGGGCATTGCAGGCTAACAAAGAAGCCAAACGACCCCCCCTTTCAGAGGCATAGACAGGTATGGGGCATTGCAGGCTAACAAAAGAAGCCAAACCACCCCCATTCCAAAGGGGTGGACCCTTTCAACTGTTTCAATTTGCATGTTTTCTAAACATAAAGAAGGCTTTGTTGGGCTACTGTATAAAGCCTCGACCTCAAGGCTATTTATGACTTTTAAATTAAAAAAAGCTTCCTTGATGAGAGGTGAAACCTCTTCAAACTTCGAATCAGTCCAGTGGATTGTTTTTTAACTGTTGTTTAATGTGCTTTGTGTTCAAAGAATGGTTGTTTAATATTGTATCTAATTCTTTCACTTCCTGTTGCAGTTCATAGTATTACCTGGAAGAGGGCGCTCACTCTCTGGAAGGCTGAAGACCTCATGAAAAGCTCCTCTTTTTGTGCTGTAGTATCGCCCCCCATCATCTTCTCGGCTGCTGCCTAGAGGAGCAGAAGTAGAGACGCTACTGCGACCCCCCGCTGAGGTAACCTGAACAGAAGAATAAAAGGTGTGCAGGGACTGAATTTGCAGGTATTTAATGTTTGGGATGTATATTCTGTAGTTTATTAGGATCACCTCCAGCAATATCTCTTCCATCTGTTAATCACACTAGATGAACTGCAATGTAGATCTCAGACCAATCATTAGTTGCCCACTCTAGTCCAGGAAGAAAAGCGAGGGAAAAGCTACTACTGTGTTTGAATTCCCAACAGAAGATGTTTGCAATTTTGGTTGCTGTGGAAACAGAGCTATTTCCCAAGCAATAATACCTCCATCTACTCTCTGGACCTGCGGGTTCATGTATCTTCTTCCTTGCTGCTCTACTCTTCTGGCCAACATTGCTAGCGGTGGTACTTTACTGCTGACAACAAACTTCCACCCACCCATACAGCCAAAGCAGGACACTGAAAGCAGCAGCAAACACATTGGAAACCATGTCCTGACTATATAGGTAATAGCTAAGAGTTTCCAGTTGAAGCATGTTGATTCAAGAAATTGCAATAAAGAAGATGTGGCAAACCTCCTTGTAACAGCACGCTAGGATAAAGGTGTAAGATAAAAACATGTTTAAAACCCCTAACTGGCCTTTTTTAGCCTTTGCTCATGATAAAAAAGAAAATTTCTTGGAGTCATTTTAAAGAGGCTGTGTTATGGCCTAGCTCAAATGGCCGCAACAAAAACAGGGAGGACATGGAAACCAGAGATGTTTTTAGCCCTTCAGAGGCATTTATTAAAATGACAGCCAAGGGGATAATGAGTGGCAGCCCCAGATGTGCTCCAAGCATTCGCTACCTCCGCCTGATCTGGGACCTCTGGACCCAACTGGACCTGGGACTCGGTTGGGTCCTAGCCTCGGTTGGTCCCCTTAATCAATTCTGTTCTTCTCTCGAGCTACGGCAACCTCTGGAGCCAGTGGTGCTCCGAGCCTAGAAAAAACCGGGCAAAACAAATGACACCTGGTACCACGGCGACACACCTCATGGGTAGAACTTTGTTCCTTAAATACCATCCAGGTGGCTACGTAATCAGAAGAACCTCCCCCAATCAAGGACCTGCATGGACAAACAATTACCGGCCAGTTGCCTCACAGCAGGGCCGTCAAAGACTGCTATTCATTTCATTCAAAGAGATCAGGATTGGTAGCGCCCATGTTTCCCTTCCGCTGGTACCCATCTTTTCAGGTCAAGTTAGTTAAACTCAACTGGGAACTGGGCTCACGCTAAAGGCTAAGTGGCTGCATTTCTGGTGCCACAAGAGATCCAAATCAATACAATCAATATGTGCATTCACATGAGCCATTGGTGGTGAGGGTCTGGTTACTAAGGTTGTGTGGATTAACGGGATAGTTCTGTAAGAAGACCGTTTTGCCGGATGCAGCAGCGGTTTCTACACGTTCATTCATTTCACAGACCAAAAGGAAAAGATGGATGCCAGACAGGATAGAGTTTCAGAATACAATCATCCCACCAACTAAAACTAGCTTGACTAATGGAAATAAAACAGCAAAACAGAGACATGATGAGACACACTGGGGGATAAAAAGGAAATATTTTGGAAAAGGATAACAAGTTTTCCCCCTAGAACTTCCAGAAAGAGAGTATTCTCGTGTGAATTTATTTTTTTTCCCACGAGCGCTGTATCCGCAGCCAACACCACAGCTGGCCGGGCTACCCACTACACCAGCATGAGTGGCACTTCTTAGCACAACAGCCATGGATCAGGACCACAACTTCTCCCTAGTCAGTGTGAGTGAGGCATCATCAATTTTCCATTACAACAGAACAGTATCAGTAACAGTAAGTGGGAGTTAGATTTTTTATTGCACTGTGGGCCCTGGACTGGAGTGATATGAGCAAGCATGCAGGTAATAAAAATAGTACCAGTTCAATGTAAACTTTACTAATGGAAAAAAAATGCAATTAAGATTGGATGGTCTTAATCTTCTTTGTTTCTTCTTCAACCAGTTTCATTGCAATGCCTGTAAAAATCCTATAAAATTCAGTTTTTATACCATCTTTAAACATCTTCCAGAGCTTTGATCAATCCATCCTCTGAACATGGTGAGAGGACAGACCACCTGCAGGCCTAATATGACATTATTGGGCCATATGCCATGATCATGGTTTTGGACATTGAGAACCAGTGTCCACGTTTCATGTTGACATAATGGCCAGAGAAAAAAAAAGTACAGTTTTGGTGATTAAACAGCTGTGATTATACACACAGACACACTTTTAAGCCAACTGCCTCCACAGGAATTCCCACAGAGGTGTCACTTGCCACCTCCCTCTGTGTTGAGGACAGTGAAAACCACAAAACTCACAGGTCTTCTTTCTCTTTCCCATGAAGCTGCCTGAGGGTCCACCATAATGGAGATACAGGCCCAAAAAGGCCCAGATGATGATCAAGTCGTGATGGTGACTTTTCAGAACCAAACTGCTGCAGAAAAGACTTTTTGCAACACATTTCTCTTGAGTTACGGAACTTATAGAGCCAGACTGGATGACAAAGCCTCCTAAGGATGTCTTGTTGTGAGCCACATGGACAAAAGAAAACCCCTGGTTGCTGTGAGCCTACCAGCTGGATGAAAACTCAAGCCTTTCAAATGGACATGGAAAAAGGTTTGCAGGTCTGGCACAATTAGGGACAGAACAAACAATATGTCTTTTGATGATTTGGATCATTTCATGTGTTTACTGATGAATAAAAACAAAGCTAACAGGATAGATTATACTATGCTATGCTACAGTAATGGCAACAGTAATATGTTTTGAGCTGTTGTTGGAGCTTGGACAAGCTTTATTTCACTAAGGGTTTAAACACTGATATAACTTTAGTGTTTATGTGTTTCTCATATGCTCATTACATTTCCATTACCAATTATGACCAAGAGTCATTTAATGGACTCCTCATGTCTATTTGATGCTAGCTATTTTAAAGAGCGCAAATAATCATTTAACTAAAGTATTACTCAGAGATGCAGGAACCAAGGGAAATACATTTTGGCCCTAAATTTTGATGAAGGATTTGCCTTAAAACATAGTTAAAAGCTCACAAATGCTACAGACAGGATTGACTCAGTGGGCGCTGGCTACAAATGTTCGAAACCACTTACATTTTATTTTGTAGAACATTACAGATCTCTCTTGCAAAGAGACACTTAGTGTCCATAGAGTTTCCTATCTAATAAAAGATTAAATGAAAAACATAACATTTTGAAAACACTGTATGAATTCTGTCTATGGTTGTAATGTGGTTTGGGGAGCTTAAACTACTTCTGCAAGTGATTCTAACGGTAAAATCAGTTTCTTTCCAGCAAAAAGGTGGTTGTGCATCTGCAATGTAGAAATGCACATGATAAAGACAATCACTGGGGGTTTTAGAGGAAGTACCTACTGCTGCTGAGTCTATGTGTCTATGCATCTACAACACACACTGACCTCTAAAACAAGACACAGCAGATCCTCCTACCTGTTCACATTCAGACAGCTGAGAGAGAAGGATAAAAACAAACTGAACTTAAAGCAGCTGTGCAGATTGTGCTGGCCTTTCATGCAACAGATATGACAGGAATATTACATTTCTTTCCTCCTGTGTTAAAAATGATTTTTACTTAAATCCCACAAGGCTGCTGCTCACAGCAGACCAAGTAGGAGGTGCATATCTGAATCTATTACTGACTTTGACTGTATTATCTTGTTGAATTGTCTCTGTAAAGTGCCTTTAGATTGCATATGATGTAAATTGGCACTATATCAATGAAATGAATGGAATCTATGACTGACCCGCCTGCTCATTGTGGTGTTGCTGCGCTCCTTCAGCTGCAGGTCGGTGGGAAGGTTGGTCCAGATGATGAAGGGTGTGTCAAAGCGCTGGCGCAGCTTGGGGCAACTTTTAAAAATGAAGTCAATGATGAAAAACTTGATTCCTGCATAAATTCCTGCAAATAATCCAAATAACACAAACTCAGCAGCTTAACCAATATCACAGGAAGTAAAATTTATTGATTTGGTCCATTTCATATGAAAATCATAGACCAAAGGGGCTGGGAAGAATTTGACTCAACTAAGAAGGTTTATCGAATGTTTAGAAATCTTTAGAAAAGGTGTATTATTTCTACATCTGATTCTGTGCAATCATGTTATTAACATGTAATTATTTTGTAGATTCCAATCTTTAATTATGAATATGTTGAAAACTGAGTTAAAGTTGCACAATCAGCTGTGTGAGTTTTCAAAAAATACTTTACTGATCCTAAAGGGGATTATTTTTATCTTGTGAGGAAAATGTCTAATTTGAAGAGATGGCATCCATCCTACTTTTAAAGGCACATCCCTTTCTAGGAATCTGGCCAAATTTTTATTGCCCGTAAACTGAGAGCCCAGGGTGCAGACTCAGAAGCAGAGTCATACACACGTCTTTGGAGCTTCTCTACTGTTACTCACCAATTACCGCATCCAGAATATGCCCTGTCCTTAGCCAAAACCAAATAGATTAGAAAACAATTCTACAGACATAAATCATGATAACTTAAGTAAAAATTACAAGACTCCACTTGAGAAACAAGTAAAAAACAATAAAATTTGTTTTATGAAACATAAGAGCTCTCACGAAGAGTTTGTTAATAATAAATTCTGGATACAGAATATAACAGATTGACAAATCAGTGGTTGAAATATACAAAACAATTGTTTAACGGACAAACCATTAAATCATTCCAACAGATAGCAAGAATGTAATTTACCTGCTCACAACTTTTACAACTATCTACAACTAAGACACTACCTAGAGACACATAACAAATGGGGAAATATTTATAGAATCTAAAGTATGGAGTTTTTTCATTTAAAATGAAATAAAGTAAACAAATACTTTAATAAACCAACAGGGACATCATCTCAAGATCAGAACTAGCAGTTTTTCAACAGTGTTAACAATGTGTTGTTTCTTTAGGGATTTTAGATATTGTGTAAATCTAAAATGTTTTAGCTCAAATTCGGAAACAAAATGTCTATCTACTTGTCCCAGGAAATGCAATCCAAATTGGACCCAACTTTGGACATCGGTACTAAGAGCGGCCTTTACTACTGCAAACACAGGTCCAACCGGTCACAACTGTCAGATAGCTCAGCATCTTTAGTGTGCGCTAGTGTTCAGAGTTTGAGTCTTGTCAGAGAGTCATAGCTGAGTGTGTCTGATAATGTACCTATGAGGAAACCCAGCAGCTGGTAAGGCAACAGGCATGAGGAGATGAAGGCCACCCACAATCCCACGTAGAGCTTCTGAGTCAACTCTGGCTGGACCCACATGAACAGACTATGGACACACACACACACATAAACAGTGTATCACACACCCCTGCTTGCAAACTATTACTTCAGGGAAATAACATTTGTACTGGAAAAATACTTACTTCTTTATCTTCTCAAGGATGTTGGCCATCTTTCCAAAAATATTCTGGATGGAGGTTAGGAAAACAACATTTAATCTATTGGACTGTGAGAAGACTGTGACCAAATAACTTGCAGTTTAATGAACAGTGACCAATGAATAAATCTTTTTGTAATCAGCTAAAAGTTTAAGAGGCTGGTTTAAATGTTATTTATCTGACAAATTGTCCTTTTTTCATGTTCAAGAAAAATCTTCTTCCTGCTCCAGGATTACCTGTGGAGTACCACAGGGATCAGTGCTAGGGCCAGTTCTCTTTATAGATTCTCCTAACTGGTAAAATTATTAGACAGTGTGGGATTCATGTCCACTGTTATGCTGATTATACTCAACTACAGCGTGTAAAATAAGTATTGAAGACGCCATCATTTTTCTCACTTATTACATTTCTAGAGGTGCTATTGAGATGACATTTTCATCAGATGTTGATAACAATCCATGCAATCCCACACATACAAAGAAATCAAACCATAGATGTCCAGGAATTTAGTTATGCCATCTGTGGAAAATGTGATGTTAATGGCACCTCTAGAAATATATTTACTGAGAAAAATGGTGGCATGTTCAATACTTATTTTACCTGTTGTATATATGACTTTAAATACTGATTAAACTAAACCATTACATAGACTACATGTACAAGCATGTATTGAACACTTAAAAACCTGGATGACTTAACTATCTGCTTCTGAATAAAGATGGAACAGAAGTTATTATCTTTGGACCAGAGGTTTTGGGAAAAAAAGCTGATTAGTCAGATAACAAATGACAAAATCTTGTTGTTATTTTCCATCAGGGCCTGTCAATTAAATCCCATATCAAATAAGTTGCTAGAATTTTCTTCTTTCATCACTGGAATATTGCAAAGAGAAATATCCTGTCCAGAGGTGATGCTGAGAAACTAGTCCATGCATTTATTACTTCAAGCCTGAACTTTTGCATTTTTTTACTATCAGGAAGTCCATAAACTGTAATTAAAAGCCTTTGGCTGATCCAAAAAAAGGAGTTCTGATGAAAATTATAAAGAGAGAACAGATTTATCTTATCATAGCTTCTCTTCATTGGCTTCCAATTTAAAATTCTTCTTCTGACATATAAAGCCTTAGACATCCAAGCTCCATTTTATATCAGAAATCTTATTGTACCTTATGTTCCTAACAGAGCACTTTGCTCTCAATCTGCAGGTTTAATTTCTAAAAGTAGAAAGAAAGGCAGATCTTTTAGTTATCAGGCTCCTCTCCTGTGGAACCAACAACCAGTTTCAGTCCATGAGGCAGACACCCTGTCTACCTTCAAGGGTAGGCTTAAAACTTTCCTTTTTGATAAAAATTATAGTAAGAGTGGCTCTGGTCATCTGGAGCTATCTCTTTTGTTATGCTGCTATAGGCTTTGGCTGCTGGAGGACATAGGGACCACTTTTGATGATTCTGCTTCATTCTATATATTTTGTACCATTCTGCAATAATTTTTAGGTCAACCTCTAACTTAATGCTCTCTCTGCTTTTTTGTATCATAGTAGCTGTAGTAGTCTGATCTGTAGTAGTCTGATCTGTTCCTTGGGTTTCACACAATCCCAGAATGAATTATCAGCTGTGCTGCTGCCATAAGCATCTTTGTTTATAGATGTTGGAGTTTGGGCTGTTTTCAGTGTGGTCCTGTGTCTCTTACTGTGACTAACTCTATGTGCTCTCTTTCATCCTTTGACATGGGAGCTGGTTAGGAGCTTGCCTGCCTGGCTGTGTGTATCTCTGCTTCTGTCTCCTTGAATCCCAATTGGTCTCGGTAGATGGCCGCTCACACTGAGCCTGGTTCTGCTGGAGGTTTCTTCCTTTTAAAAGTGAGTTTCCTCTCCACTGTTGCTATATAAATGCTCAGTGTGCGGGATCACTTTCGAATCAATGAGTTGATGCTATCAGCTAGTTTTCAACCAGAACAAATCTGGTTAATTTGTCTCTTTAAAGTGCCTTGAAATTACATGTGCTGTGAATTGGTGCCATATAAATAAACTAAATAGAAATGTAATTGAATTATACACCAACTTATTGACATTTAATAATGATGAAGACATCAAGGTTTTTAAACATCTGGTCCAAAACATTCAGCCACAAAGGCAAGCTCTTAATAAAACCTGGTAATTGAGCAAATTGTCTGTTTCAATCATTTAACTAACGATCATGACTTGGTTTTACCCATGATTTAAATGACATGTTAATCAACTATAACGTCCAGTTCTATTTAATATTATTTTAATAATCTTCTGGTCAAATTGCACGACAGTATTAACGATAACATCAATTTGTTGGAGCACCTCCCCTCACCTGAGCTTTTTGGGCAACATCCAGAACAAGCTGGAACTTTTCAGATACAGTCAAGTCTTCTTTTGAAGGTTCCTTGAAAATAAAATAGTTGTAAGCGATTTACCATCCTCAGCAACTAGCATCAACTGATCTCCTGACCCGTCGTTAATCACCCCATGCTTCATAGGGCAAAGAGAGATGCCTCACCAATGGCTCAAACACTTCAGGTACAATGCTCCACTGGATCCTCCAGCCTCTAAGAGAGAAATGTAATGAACAATTATACAGGAAACCCTTTCAAGATTGTTCTGATTAAACGATACTGATGAAATAACATTCTAAAGGATTCATGTAATAAATGTTTAAAAAGTCATTTATCAATTACAACAAATTGAAACAACAAACAAATGAAAACAAAAATGGCCAGAAATACACTCTTCAGATAATGCACCTAAGTGTAATATTAGACATAAGATAACTTGAATAAAAAAAAACACTTTTCAAGAGATGGTTTTATTTAATCAAGTAAAGGATCTCTCAAACCAGCCCCACGTTACATGATGGTCCTGCTTGTTAAATCAGGAAATAATTCCATTTCAATGCAATTTAGTTGATTTATTTAGCACCAATTCACACCACGTCATCTCACTTTACAGAGACAATGCCAGGAAATACAGATAGTGTAGAGTGGATGTAGCTTTGACCAATCAGATGCCTCCAGTCTGCGGCACTGTCTGCGGTCACCTACAAGCTGATGCACCAGAGTGTCTGCGGAAGGGTTAACTGCGAAACACATGCAGATAACCTGCTTTCTGAGTACAAATCAACCTTATAGCAACATAGCAATCCCCCAGCAGTCCCTGAGTAGTCAGTATGCAAGGACGGCTGGGTGACATTATGCAGATTTTTTTTCCCCTAAATCCTTGTCCAACCCGTCCATGTTTCTCAGCAATTTTCCCTGCCCAGTGATACACCAACTGAGAAGCCAACTCTGATGATTGGCAGCTCTATAGTCAGAAACGGGGCATTAGAGACACCAGGGACCATACCCTTATGTCTGATAGGGGCCAGAAAGGGCAACATAGATTTTTACATTGATAAGTAGTAAGATCATTATTTCCAATTGGTGTAATGACACCCATGCATGCCGATCGGAGGTCGCTTAAATTAGCGTTTGCTTTGGTGAGACAATTTGCAAATAACCGTCTCCTTGATCTGACCAATGACATGTTTAGCAGCATGTTGTCATTCAAACACTTGTTGTCTAGGTGGCGTCCTGAAAATGATTTGGGCTTGGGCATGCTTTGGTGGCGCAATGATTAGCAAACACGACCCATGTACGGAGGCCTTATGATGTGGGCTACAATGCACATCAGCTGATTTTTGGGGGGAAAACCTGGTGTGATTTTGAGACGGTGTCCATCTCACTTCCACTGCTGCAGCTTGTCTTTCCAGGATTCGGCAGATATGTTTTAGTGATGCAAACCTCTCTACACTTTCTTTACTCTTACCAACCCATTATCCCATTCAGACCATCTATATTGGCCAAAATCCAACAAATGACAGGAAAAAAAAAGGCTAACGGGGTCATTTATGATAATCTGATTAAAATTAACTGGACTCTAATTGAAAAATCGGTTAAAACAAATAAATGTGGTTTATTAAGATCTGAGAACGATGATCTCTCACTTTAAACTATTTGTTGGTTAATGGTTTGATTTGTACAAAAAATTATTTGTTGTTTTACAGAAACCTGGAAGCAACAAGAGGATCTTGTTAGTTGAAATGAGGCAACTCCATACAGCAATTTAAAATTTCACATCAACAGTGTTGAGATCAAATGTGGGTGAGGTAACAGGAGCGACTCCTCTCTGACATCACACCCCTGTGACTGAGTTTATTGAAGGAGCCGGCTCCTATTCAACATCCTGTTGCCCATGGCCAAAGGCTACAATAGGGCTAGACACACCTGTTCTATGTTGAAAGCTATATTTAGTAGCAACCAAATTCCTCTGATGAAGTCTGTGATTGCTGTGGCAGGGTGGGACCATGGAGATGTATAAAATGCTTTTTTAACAGTTATTCTGGGCAGACTTCCTGTCCAAGCAAGCCTGATGCCATTTTATCCGTGACCCCATCTGGTCTAAGTAAAATTCAAATTCTGTTAAATCTGCCGTTATATTTTATAGTCATTTAATACATATACATTGTAAAGTGTTACTTGAAGTGTTTGTTCCTAGTGATTTCTTCTCAGGAAAGAATTGGGAGAGAACGCTTAAAGGTTTTAACACCCAGCTTTCCTTTACAAATGCTTTTGTTTCTTTTGTATGCCTGCTTCCCTCTCCTTGAACCATCGACTCAGCCTCGACAGCAAGCCGCTCACACTGAGCTGGTTCTGCTGGAGATTTCTTCCTGTTAAGAGGGAGTTTTTCCCTCTCCACTGTCTTTGCATGCATGGTTGGTGGGAGGCATTGCTGTGGAGTTTACGGCAAAATGCAAGAAAATATCTAGTGTCTCTACATTCTCAACCAGGAGGAGCCTGACCTGCAAGTCAATGACTTGATGCATTCAGCTGTTTTTTCTTAGAGAACTTTTAACCAACCAGAAAGAACGATCTGATTGAATTCTCTCTGGATGGTGCCTTGAGATGACATGTGATGTGAACTGGTGCGACATAAATTAACTTGCAGCGAAATTGACTGGGAACGCCAGTCAGCAGTGGTTAAATTCTAAGGAGTGGGAAAAGAGGGATGCCGTAAAAAACTCAACCACGGGCAGGTAGAGCAACAAAAAATTTGGCAAAAACGTTCCAACACGACAATGAACTAAAACACAAGATCAGGTTATAGGATACAGCAGATGAAACTGAAGGTTCTAGAGAGACTACATTAGTCCTCAGTCTTGGGCGGTCTCAAACATGCAGACAATAAATTTACAGGTAGTACATGTGGAGTGACCACAAAGACTCCAGCCCTTTATTGATGTTTTTATGAGATATATATTTTTTAATCCATCCACCCATTTTCTGTCACGCTTAATCCCAGTTGGGGTCAGGAGGGGTACACCCTGAATATGTCGCCAGTCCATCGCAGGGCAACACAGAGATACACAGGACAAAAAAACCATTCACGCCACACTCACACCTACGGAGAATTTAGAGAAGACTGTTAACTCATTATCTTAATGAGTTAACAGTCATGTTTTTGGAAAGTTGAAGGAAGCCGGAGTACCTGGAGACAACCCACGCATGGTCAGGGAGAACATGCAAACTCCATGCAGAAAGACCCTGGGCCAGGAATTGAACACAGAACCTTCTTGCTGCAAGGCAGCAGTGCTACCCACTCTTGCACTAACCATTTTTTTATATTACCTAAAAAAGTAACCTTTCTATTTAAAGTTATGAGCACAACTATAATTGTATTGTGCTATGTTAAAGTTATACAATGACAAAGTTTTAATGCAATCTTTTAAACAACACGATGTTACTATTGGAGTTCATTTGATGTCTTTTGAAGAAAAGTTCTGCTCTAAATAAGAATTTGATATTACGTTTAACACCTAGTCGCTCCCCCACAGTCAGCCTTTAAACAGGAGATGTGTTGGAAAACTCACCTGGAAATCAGATAATTCAATGAAAGACGGACTATTGCGAGGAACAGAAACATGGGGATGGCCCAGCCATGCCATGCTGCATACATGTACACCTGTTAAAACAACAAGTGAGAAAAGAGCAACAAAATAAATTTTAAATTCAATGGTAAGTTTTGATATTTAGAATGGGCCTCAGGATGCCTGACATGGTCATTGGGGGCTTTGTGAGGCTTGCCATAATCTTTTGGATGAATAGCCACCTTAAATCTGGAGAGGAACTCATAACAAGAGCCAATTATTTTTCAGAAGTTGTTTAACCAATATAATAAAATCAACACAAATCAATAAAGGAATTTGAATAGCTATCCTTCTCTTTATCAAATTGCTAACCAGTTCACTATAAATATGTTATTGTATGTTTCAAAGGTATAGAGACGGATGTTATTCCAGTATTTGACTATAATCTCAACGGTGACCCCTGCTGTCACTGAGGGAGAACAACTGATCTCATTTGATACAACAGAAAATTTAACAAAAGGTTGCATAAGTTTATTTTGTTTGCAAGTAGAGAAGAATTTTTACTTGATGATGCAAAATATGTTTTATTTGTGTACAACTTGTTCTATTTGTTTTTAATATTTTAGCAGAAAATATTAAAAACAAATAGAATGGATGGAAATGAAGGTGTCTGGAGCACCTTTGCTAAATGTTTATCTTGCCTTCATGATAAGTGAAGAACTTCAAGTTAAACTGATTTTGCTTAACTTCTTGCCACTTGCCAAAAACGTCTGGAACAGTGGAGTTCACAAGTTAAGAAAATAAGACAAGATCAAAGCAATATACATTAATCAAGGAACATGCACATAAAGAAAGTAGACATTGTGGAATAGATAGGTTTTGGGTTTAGATTTGAACAACAACAGAAAGTGGCAGCATAGCGAATGTCTAGAGGAAGAGATTTCCAGAGTTTGGGAGCAGAGAAGGAAAAAGCTCAATTTTCCAAGGAGCTGAGTGAGAGAAAAGGAACAGTACAGAGGGTGAAAGAGAAAGATCTAAGGATATAGTAGAGATATGGAGGAGATCTTAATGGTAGGAGACATCAAGTCTGTCAATAAAATTCAATCTATGCTAGAGAATTGGGTTCTGAATTTAACAGGAAGTCAATGGAGCTGCTGTGAAACTGGAGTGATGTGATGAAAAGAGGGGGTTTTGGTGAAAATGTAAATGCTAAATTCTGGACTACTTGGAACTCATGGAGGGATTTTTGAAAAGAACAAATGTGTGAGCATAAGGCACAGGTGGGCCCTCAACTAAAGTGACCACCAAAACCAAACGTATGGATGCAAAGATGTGACAAAGATCCATAATCGGGAAAAAAACTACATATAAAGACAAGACAAAGAACAAAAGAAAAAGAAAGGCAGTACAGTAGCCATAGTTGAGGATAAGCAGACAAGTATTGCTTAATTTACAAAACAGGCAGTTTTGCCTTTTAATAATAAAGCGTTAATGAAAAATTAGACACTTCTGTACATGCTTAAATTATTTAATCTGATCGAACCCTTGGTACATGTATACATTCGCCATAATGGGATTGTTTCTTTTAGTGTCCATGTAATGTTGTATGCATGTAAACGTAGCTAATGATACTGTATGTTAAACAGTATTAATGTGGGATTATTGGCATCTTTTCATCAATTCACACCTGCTCATATATTTTTATGTAATGTAGTATGAGTGTATAATTTTGCAAACAATATTTACTGAAAACTGTTTCATAGCCAAAGGAAACGCCCCCAAATTCATAGATGAACTGTCTGGTCACTGCTGTTATTATTCACTGTAGCAGGTTTGAGGGGTGGAGAAAAATGATTCTTGCCTGTGTGTGAACTTACAATGAAGGCAATGGCAGAGGTATACACAGAATACCAGCTGGATAAAGCAGACAGATTCCTCATGAAGTTAGTCACAGGTCTGAAACCTCGTTCTAAGAACACATAGTAAGAGGAAACAGTATATTAGACTCATTTGTAATGTTGTTGCTTTTAATAACGACATAATGTTTACCATAGAATCCAGTAAATAAAGTTATCAAAAATATGCCAAATCTATTATGTCTAAAGTCCCACAGGGATCCATTATTGGAACTCTTAACCATCTAGTATGGGACTCCAGACAGAAAAGCGAGAGAAATACTTACTAAGACGTCTCATGTTTTCAGTCAGCCTGGGGATCAAATACAATGGATGTTGGTTTGGATTTTAAATAAATGAAACATCTATTAGAATCAAACGGCACTAAATTGTCCTGCGACAGTCTAGTATTTTTTTTTTTTTTACCTCCTGCCACTAAGTGGCTCATCTGGCTCAACAGTTATCTCTTCTGGTTGGAAGCGGAAGTCTTCGATATAACATCCAAATCGATCGTAAAACCATCTCAGGAAAGTGTTGGATAGGGTTTCTTTCTGTTTGTCTTAGAAAAGGAGAGGCTTCATTAAATCAAAGAAAATGGATAGTGACCTCTACGTTTTCCAAACCTGAACAACGTGAAAAAGAAAAAATAAATAAAATGAGTTGGCTCTCTAACCTGTGCTGCTGCTTACAGAAGGTTGAGGAGATGGAGGTTTGGAGGTTTGAGAAGGTGAATCCTCAAGTCTGTGAGAACACATATATATAATGTCAGTCAAGAAAAGTAAAAATTTATCTGTTTAGAAAATGATCTTAAACACCTACCCTGATTTTATGGCATCATTGACCTTCTGTTCCAACTCAATTCGCCTGCATCGCTCCTTCTCCAGTTCCTGTTTAAGTGAATCTATGTGGGACTCATCCCTCAGCTTCCGCAACTCTTCCTCTGAAAGAGTAAAGATCGTGACAATAAAGAACTACTCCTGGACAACTTGTTTCTTTCCAAAATGTCTTATGGATGATAAGCATTATCAAGTGTAATTGATACACCAATCGAAAGTGAAAAAGCGTGCCATGAGGTGGATGAATTTGAACAGGGATGAACTGAGAAGTAATCAGATTACAAGAACAAGTAAACTTAAGTTTAAAAAGTTGAAAAAAATGAGTCAGAACATAATCCAGCACCTTGTAGAGGCACCTTTATCAGATATAACTCCTAGAAGGTTATAACTATACAGTATTATGGGTGTCCCAATTGAGGGGCTACATCCTTAAAAAGACTAAATCAATCTGGAAAACAAATACAACAGCTTTGGATGAATCCTTACTATTTGCTCAATTTTTGTTGTTGTTTGTTTTTGTTCATTTACTGCAGCAGTTGCCACAATACTACTGCAGCAGTTCCCCAACATTTGGGGGGAAACGACCCTCTGGGAACTTCCAGATTTTGCAGCCGCTCAGCTCCATGCCATATCTGGAAGTCCAACTCACTGAGCTTTTTAAGTCATCTGCTTTGATGCTGCTATCAGTGCACATGATGGCAGAAGAGATCTCACTCTGACAACAGACTGGTAGAATATATGTAGCATTTAAATATGCAAACATGAGCATTTTGATATTATCTTAATGAGTTATGTGTTTAACTTCCACCCAGCGGTTTAACCCAGAAGTAGGTTCAATACTCTCAGCCACAATTGCCAGTGCCTTCCATTAGTGCTGCCCAAGCTTGACCGAACCAATGTGACCTGCACTGACTAGTGGGACATGATAGGGCATATAGGATACTCTGGATTGATCCCTCAGATTGGCCCAATGTTGAATTATTTGTTGGCAACATTTGAAGCATCCTTATGAGGATTTAGTGGTTTAAGACAGTCTTCGCTGTAGCACTTTGACATAATCAGTCTAACATTAAAGCCTTCAGAGGACACAGACCCCAAAGTTAGATGCAGCCATTATTGCTCTCCTGTATTCAAGTTATATGGAAGATTTTTTTTATTTAAAGCTGTCAGTTCTTTATTGTTTGGCATAAATTGATTTCTTAAATTCCATCCTAAGTAGCAATAAATGTGTTCTAAGTTTGTCAACCTACAGATATATCTGTTATCAATCATCCAGCCAAAATCGAATGATTAAAAACACTGCAAAGTATCTAAAATTAAAATATCAAAAGTCATGAAAAAAAAAAACGGATCTCTCTGCTCTGAAATACTGGGGGTGTGTCCACAGGAATCACTGTAACCACACCCATACAAGAAAACTTTCACATATACTGTGGCAATGGGCTTGCCATAACATGTAGTAAAGTGTGAGAAAACATTCTATGAATTCCATAAATAGAATGCAGCTTAGTGACGTTATGTGCTGCACTTTTAACCCATAAAAAAGAATCAAGAAACACAGACCACTACAAACCCAAATTAAATTATAACTTACAGCCTCCCCTTTCAGAACAGTACATCTAAAATTTTTATGATTCGTTTAAAAGAAAATTGAAAAATACCCTTTAGACCTAACCTTTAACCTGTTCAAGATTTTAACAGTATATTTTTTTTTGTCTGTTTTAAAAAACAAATAACCTGGGACTTTTCTATTGATAATATAAAAACCCATTTATGGATCATGTTTCAACTTAATTTATTGCATTCTGCATTTTATTCTGACAGAATTCTAGGTAATAGCCTCAAACCCACAAGGCTCCATCATCTGCATATAAGGATTTTCCAATTCCTGATCTACTTGATCAAATATGTTATTAATTCTCTCATCTTTTATCCTCTGCTTTATCCGGGACCGGGTCGCGGGTTAGCAGTCTCACTAGAGACTCCCAGACTTCCCTCTTTCGTCAATTGATCAAGACCTTAAAGGTATAGAGGATGGTGTTTTATTTCCAGGTGGATCATCATTCTGGTGATATGTTTACGTGAGGCCGTCCTATGTGCTCGTCTGGTTAGCTATATTTTTCTGTGCATCACCTTTCTCACCGCGGTTCTTTGAAAATGCCTAAGAAGTGCATAAGAAGAAAAGACAGGCCTCAGAAGAGGCAGATATATCCTGAAATGATTTGCGCAGAGTGCTCTCTTCCCAAAGCATTATGGGATTTGCCATCAGAGCGGCCCGCTATCACCATAGGCTGTCGCTACCCAGAGTGGCGACTAATGACAAAGATGGCGCAGGCACTGCACGGTGGAGGAGGAGTTACGTGACCAATGGGGATTAGAAAAAGCAGTGATCATCTGTCCGAACAGTAAGTTAACTGAGTTTTCTATTCATTCCACTATATAGTTCTTGCTCTATATAGTGATTGAGAGATTTAGGGGTTAGGGTGGATGTTCGGACACATCAGCTATGAGAACAACAACTTTTAAACAGAGCGTGCTCAAGGAGAAATGGGCTCATGCATGCTCTTGTACGTGTTTAATAGGCGTTCCCTTTGGGAGCGTGTACAGGGTGCATTTTTTTAAAAGAGGAGAGGAACATCTTTTCAAAAATTCGCATAAATTCTCCACTATACCTTTAACATAGAAATTGATGCATGTAAGTGTACAGAACTTGACCAGACCCATAACAGAAACAATGGTCAAAAAATATAGTCAAAATAATGCTTCATACTTCAAGCAGCATATTACTACATTCTCTATAGCCTCCAGGGTGGTGAAGTGAAGTATAATATAATTGAACTTTATTAATTTCACATTGGAGAAATTCACCTCTGCATTTAACCCATCCCCTTGTGGAGCAGTGGGCTGCCATTTTGCTGCACCTGGGGAGCAGTGTGGGATTGAGGGTCTTGCTCAGGGAGCAAGAGTGGCAGTCTGTGGGAGTGGGGCTTGAATTTAGACCCTCTGGATTTCAAGTGAGATGCCCTAACTACTAGTCCGCCCCTGCCCTCCAGTGTTTGCGATGTTTGCCAAGTAGACAAACATCGCAAAGACTGGCAGCATCACAGCAAATTCAGAATCAGTTTTTCAATCTGAAATAAATAAATTTTGTACTGCTAAAAAGATTTTAACAGTACGATCTGGGCGAGCTGTTAATATTTTTCCATCATTTGTCTTTCATGACCTTGCCATAGTAGTTTTCCACTTATGTCAAGGACTGTAAGCTGTAGTAGCAAAATGAAAAATGTTAATTTGTTCCCGCAAACATCTAGACTTATTTAGTTGGTTTGTCTTAAAAGTCAAGTAAACATATTTAATATAAAACGTTGGTCTGAAATTCTTTAAAAAGAAGCAAATTTATATTCTCTGGGGACAAGAAAGCACTTACTTGTAACTACAAAAATTTATGCCACACCCAGCTTGGTAGTGTAAATTACAAAACTAAGACTAACACAATTAATTAATCAATTATTGAAATAACCATCAACTAATTTGGTAAATTGCATGCACTTATGTGCTTAATGAAGTCCTGAGGAGCCCGAAGAGCCTCACACTAGTACATCACCATGTCCTGTATGTTAATAGCGCAACAAAGAGGAATAAGAGAACAGAGAAAAGTAAGAGGCTGGTTTAAAAAGTGTCCAAAGTCCAACACCTGTCAAACAGAAACCCTCATGCTTTATTTGAATCAGAGAGAAGAACATTTTTCTGATTTCACCTTAAAAAGTGAAGATTGTATGTACTATTTTTGCTGAACCTAGCAACCTTTTTCGGTGGTTAGGGTTAGGACTAAGATGTGTGAGTTCAGGTTAGTGTTAGTTATGCACTGATAATGTTAGCATGAGGAGAATGTACAAAAGTGTGTGTCTGACATGCCAATGAGGACTGCACTGTTATAAATAGCTGTTGGTGAATTATGTAAAGGCAGATATTGACAGATTACCCAACATGCAGTTGTGCTGTGGATTTTCTGTGCTTTGATCTGGTCATTGAGGTGACAGAATTTGTACTAAACCATATCTACACAGCTTGAAAAGCTACCCGACTAAAGTCTCCTTTTTTTGCCAGAAAAATACAGCAGTTGAGGATTACCTGCTAATTATGTGTTTGACGAGGGGTTAAAATGAGACCTTGCAGCCTGATCAGAAATGTAAAATCAGGATCTTGCAATGATTCTCACAGACTTTGGACAGCAGTTCCATTCCAACTTTTGGGGGTGTCTTATAAATACAATGTTGATGCAGAATTTTTATGTGAATGTTTAATTAGTTTTTTATATATTTTTACTTACAAAATTTAAAAGGTGAGGCATGCATATGTTTCTAAGTTAGCAGAAATTAAAACAACCCCAGCCCATGTTTCTGCTCGGGGATTGGCTGTTCAGGGTGGTTCTCCTGCTGGGAGATGAACCTCGACCCGGGCATCTACAGGTTTTGGGCCAGGATGGCCTTCCATCTTCATATAAACCATAGGCAGCTTCCTGTACTACACCATGATACTGCCACTAATTTTATCACTGAAACATCTGGAACTTCTGCTGGTCTATTAACTAATAGTGCTACAAGGGAAATGATAGAAGCAAGTTGAGATCAATATTCTTATGTGTATGACTTCTAATGTCAAATGGTTCTACTGAAATTCTTTAGAGGTGTCAGAGGAATATAAATGCCATATACATTTCCCCAAAGCATCATATGATTTTATTTCAAAAGGCTGAAATGTGCTGGTTTGTCAAAAAACCCAATGAAATATTTTTTTTTATTAAACAGGTATGAATACTTCTGCATGGCTCATTAAAGTGCAAGGCATACTCACGTAAGAAGTGTTTTTCTAACAAGGCGATTTCTAGGAGACCTTTGACCTCATTTAAATCAGTCTTTGGTTCATCTTGGAGACCAGCAGGAAACGAACCAGAACCAGCCTTGGACACACAGTTAAGAAAGAAGCAATATTAGAGACTGTCTCTAAACGAAAGGCATAGGGATATTCAGTTTTTACTCCACCTGGATGTCTATCTGTTGCTCTCCCTCAGGTTCCCGTAGTTCTTCAGCTTCTCGCAGAGAGATGCGGGGTTTTATTAGGTCGTCATTGCACTCTGTATCAGATGTGTTAGGCGACTCGGTAGTGTCAAGGAACTCGTCCCGTCTCTGGCCCCGGAACCGGATTCTGTCAAGACGCTTCCGCATGATGGGAGACCCCAGATTCAAGTGTCTACAGGAACATGATGAATACCTGAGCAGCCAAAGTAGAAGAGGAGCAGTAGTCAACAAGAGGGCTTCAGTAGGAAGAACATGTTTAAAAGGACTGAAATGCGGTGCATTGATTAAGTGTTTCCCTCTTAAGATTTTCTTCCAGAGTTTTTGTTGTTTTTTTTACAACCAAATGTTAAAAAGCACCAAATATTATGTTTTTCATTAGGGGTAAAGCTGTTCAAAAAACAACAACTGTGTAAACTCTTCAACCTTATAACAGTCTGGACTGTCTATCTCTTATAACAATACCATCTTCCTCTCATATACGGCATTAGCTTTTATTTTTCTTCTATTTTATTATCCAGTGTAAAGCACTGAATTTCCCATGTACTGAAGTGTGCAATACAAATAATCTTGCCTTGCTTAGTTTCACTCCAGGTGAAATAGTGCACCTTTGAAAAGTCCTTTACGGTAAAGTACTTTTCTGTTTAAATAATTCTTGAAAACATAGCAGTAGAGAGCTATATCTATTTTTTTTTTCACCTTCTTAATATGCCTTCTCCTGGTCTACAAAACACATGTACACTGGTTGGGCAATTCCCAGGCACCCTCAAGAACCCTGCAAAGAGTGTAGAGCTGGACCACTGTTCCACAGCAGGTCGAAAATCACACTACTTCACCAGAGTCCATCACTGGGTTTGGGGACTGTCGCCACAATAGGCACCGCAAACGTCATGGGTACAGAAAATGGCCTACTCAGACTCCCGTCTCCCCCAGAATCTAGGAGATGCTCACCCAGAGGTTGGAGTTGAACAAATCTCCTGGGTTCTGCTTCCTCCACATCGATAGGAGTCAGCTGAGGTTGCTCGGACATCTCATCCTCTCTCTTTAGGCACAGAACATGGGGAGGGGCCCAGAGGCAACCCAGGACAAGCTGGAAGGAATATGTCTCTTGATTGGCCTGGGAGAGCCTCAAGCTTCCCCCCCGCAGAGATGGAGAAGTTGTCTGGGAAGAGGGAAATCTGGGTGCTGCCCCCGCCACCCAGTCCCGGATAAAGCAGAAGACGACAAGACTTTCTTTATTGCATGACTTATAGGTTTTATTGTATATGGGTTTTGATGCTTGTAGATCACTGGTTTTCAACCTGTTGATCGCAATTAATTGGTAGATCTTCAAAACATTCCACCCAGTAGATCCCGAAAATGATAGAATGTTGGTACTTAAACTGTCACAGAATGACAGTAAACCTCACTATGGCACTACTAGTTAAGCTGACAGTTGATGGCAGAGACGGTAATGTTGTCAGCTGGCATGGCAGAAGCTGGTTGATTTACTAAATGACATTAAGTTGGAAGTAAGACTACAGGACAGGAGCTTTTGCAGAATTGTATAGGAGGGAGAAGTGTCACTTCATCTGCATTAAAGTGACGGTATACTTTGGATCCACTTGTCGCTGTGAAATGGCGTTTTCACAGATGGAAATACTTAAATCAGAGTAAAGGAGCCGCCTAACTGACAAACAGCTCCCAGACTGTCTCAGACAAGCTGTCAGTAGATGTAAGCCAATCACAAGGTACTCACTGCATTCAGTCAGTTCCTTCCACTGGCGGGAGTGTCAGCCTATTGGTTAGGGCATAGAACTTGGAATCCTGAGGTTCTGAGTTCGACCCCCACTGCCACTCTGGGTCTCTGAGCAAGACCCTTATCCCCCACACTGCTCCCAGGGTGCCCCACGGAGGCAGCCCACTGCTCCCCAAGGGGATGGGTTAAATGCAGAGGTAAATTTTTCCAATGTGAGGTCAATTAAGTACAATTATTATTATTAACTTGAGTAAGTAACATTTTGTAACATATTTACATGTAATGGTAATGAGAAAAGTAATGATACATAAATTGGTATATAACTACACTGAGCTCATTTATATCGGGAACTTTGTTAAACACAATTACAGTTCTATTTTGACAAAGCATTTTATTTCTAAAATATAGGTGTTATGTAACTTGCATGAAGCTTGAGTGGATAAACAGCTCAACCTGCAATCAGTTCCTTTCTATTTATTATTTGCAAGTGTGTATGTGAGCATTCTATTAACAAAATAATGACGTTTTACGAAAGGATGAAGTGTTGGACATCAAGCTGTACCTTGTATTAAGAATTTTGTTAGTACAGCTCTATTTTGTAACACATTGATATCAATGAGACTTAGTTGCTGTTAAATTGAGATTTGAAGTTGATGTGAAGCTATCTCGTTTGATGTGCTTATTACAATGTTTTCTTTGTTTAACCAGTTTGAACATTAGACTAAAAAAATGACACGTAATTCAAAAACAACTTATTATTCATGCATTAATACATGAATAAAAGACATCAAGTTGGAACTACAATCTAGAAAGTCTTTCTCCATCAACACTTTAATAGGGAGATATTGTCTCTCATACAGGTGGAGGTAAGGAATCCAGCACTTAAAAAGGTTGGAGACCACTATAGTAGACATAAATAATGCTGGTGTTGCCAAGACATATTCTTTAATACATAAGGTGAATTAATAAAAGCACGCACATTGAATAGCATTACAGACAACAAGATTAACATTTTATAAAATCCAGTCCAAACATCCAATAAATTGAATGTTGTGACTTTGCCATTTATAAAAGATCTGAAATCCCTCAGAGATAAAGGAGTTCTCAATTTCAATTGCTTTTATGGATTACTCCAGATTGATGGAACAAAAAGAATTAATTTTTTTTTGTTGGCCCAGTTCGGCTCTGACTCTCGGAACCTGCATGATGATCTTGAAAATGCAGGTTATACCACTTAAAGGCTTGGAAAGACCTTAAGCCAGAGGTTCGTGTTCAAGTAGACATTGAATTTGGAGGAGAAACTTTGTTCCTTTGATCGATCAGGAAGGAGTAAGTGTCTTATCATTTGCTTCCTGGGGTCAACCTGTGCTGAGTTGACTGGGAGGCAAACTGAACAAGCTTCATTCCATTCCAAAATTATGGAACACCTATCAATGGCATAAGGCATGAGGGTGTGGTGAGCCTAAATCACTCTGAGCAGTCCGACAGGTTTAGCTGACTTCATTATTGTTGCCTGGACAAGACCAAGCAAAAAACAAGCATGCAACTCTCTGATGGTATAGCCTCAGATTCTGTGTTATTCATTGGTTCCTTGTCTCTGGGTTTTTGTGCGTGTTTGTGCCTGCCCCTATAATTTATTTATCTTCAGTTTTCCAGGAATGTTTTTTGATGTATTTGTTTTTTAATTATGGACCTTCACTGTATCTCTGTTTCCATTGTTATTTTTAT